CTCTTATACACATCTAGATGTGTATAAGAGACAGGAGAGAGAGAGAGAGGGGAGAGAGACGGGGGGGAGAGAGAGAGAGAGAGAGAGAGAGAGAGAGAGAGAGAGAGAGAGAGAGAGAGAGAGAGAGGAATGACCAGGAAAAGTAAATGCAGGAGGGTAGACAAGGCAACGAAAGAGAGAGAAACAGAACGGAAAGGTGGTAGAAGATAGAGAAGAGAGGAGATACACACAAGGCAAAGGAAGATATAGAGGGCAGATGGGACAGAACAGAAAAGTTGACCCAGCATAGAGGAAAAAGCATAGGGGAAAGAAAGAGAAGACCGAGGAAGGAGGAGAAAATGTGGGAGGCAGAGATGTGATGGAGTGGATCTCAAAGGGAAGAGAGAAAGCGGAGTGAAGGTGAAAGAGGGAAAGAAGAGAGGAGAAGAGAAAACACGGAGGACGAACTCACACCAGGACTTTCCGGAGTGTATCTAGTAGCCTCTATGGACATATTCATTCCAAAAGCTCCTGGTGGGATCAATATGTCCTAAGGACAAAAAAGTGAGAGGAGAAAACAAAAAGCGATGAATGAGGAGAGAGAAGAAAGCAGTAGGTGCACGTAGACAGGAAAGAGGCGCCGAAAACGCGAAAAACTTAAAAAAAAAAAACAAGAAAAGCAAAAAAGGTGGAAGAGGAGAACAGAGGCAGAAGAAACCAGCAGAATACATAGTAGTAGAAAGATTATTGAAAAAGTAAAAAGATCAAGAAGATGCTATGCACTGTGGATAAGGTGTTTCAGTTCGTGTCAGGCTCCGGCAGTCTGCCAAAGCGATCACTACTGCAGCTGGAGGAGTTTGCGTACCAAGGGGATGGAGGGACGCCACCGGCTGGGGTCGGGATCGGGATAATCATTATTGCCTGCACGGTGGGACTCGGCATTCTCCTCTTCTTTATCGGACTCCGGACGGAGAACGGCGGGTGAGTGAGTGCTCCTCCTAGTACCTACGTAGTTGTTATCAATTACAGCCACCCGACATGTGTTTTTAAGTTTTAACTTTAAACTTGTTTGTTAAAAAAAAAAAAAAAAAAAAAAAAAAAAAAAAAAAAAAAATCCCTGCAAGGTCATGATATGTGTGCATAGACTCAGCATAGTCATGTAGATCATACGTTGACAAAATAAGAAAACAGAAAAAGCTCTCCGATCGCCACCCCGGATCTTCGCAGTGATCCTTTTCTCCCGGGCCCGCGCGGACTCGTGGATGAGTGCATACTACTATGCATACCACATGACATCACCTGCATGAAATACCAGTTCCAGATGTGCTGTACCCACCAGACTCACCGGTACCTCCAAGCCTCTTTTTTCCCGATGCCGATTTTTCTACCCCTCTAGAAGTGTTGTCAAACTGGCGCGGGAACAAAAATCGGATCTTTTTGGTGGGTGCTGCCAGCCTTTTTGTTGCAGTAGACCTGGTGCCGAAAGACACAGGAGGAGTCTTTTGTTGCAGTGGACCGATCTCCCAAAAGACAAAAGCCCCTGTTAATGGCCGAATCGGAACAAAATAGCTGGGAAATGTACTGGTGGTTTAAACCGCCAGTGTACCTTCCCCAGCTATGGGCCGCAGGCCCTGCGCACCGAGTTTCGGCGGCGCATCTGGCCTGCCGCTGGAGGCCGAGTGCAGCCTCCGTGTTAACTGACACGTCTCGGCGTTTTGGCTGGGAAAGGTACTGGTGGTTTAAGAGTGTACTCAGTCAGACTAGGCCCTCAAAATCACAAAACCAGTTTAAATCACAAAATAAGCCGCCAGATCGAGTCCTTCGGTTATAAGGACTAAATCTGGCCGGTCGTTTTGCGATTTTGCGATTTTGAGGGCCTGGTGTGAGTATGCCCTATGTATTGTTAACTATGACTTGGAGGTGGAAAAGGAACCGGAAGAAGAAAAAAAAGGGGGCGAGTACGTTGGAGTCACACCCACCGTTCAGAATAGGCAACTTCAGCAGCTCCCAAAATGGAGCAAAAAACGTGATCCCCCGGAAATCGGCCAAGCGCCCCACTGCGGGTAGTTACTGCCACAATTTAAGACCCCCCGCTAAACTTGCACATTTCGAAACTCACACCGGTGCCACTTTGTCTTTTCTTGCCTATTTCAAACTAAAAGTGTCTCACAGGCAGAGTTCCTGAAACGGTTTCCACCTTTGCAGTAGCAGATGCAGATCCCAGGGCTCGATACCTAGACCTGCCCTGAACCCGTGTACAGTACACTTCACCCCACCAATGTTTGAACCCGTGACCAGCCTCAAAGTTGCCTGTATAAGGTTGTAGTAGATTTGAGGGATGAGTGGGATTCAAGCTACTTACCTGTAGGGTAGAAGTCATAGCCTGTGTTGGGAGTAGCTACTGTAGGTCCGAAGGGCCAACCTTAGTCGAAGCTGCTACAGTACCGAAAGGGCAAGCAGAAGGTCTAGAGCTTTCTAGGACTGCCCCTTCGAGAGTCTCAGAAGCAGTCCGTAGGCAAGTGGGCAAGTGGGCAAGTGGGCAAGTGGGCAAGTGGGTAGAATTAACAAGTCTAATCAGCGGTACCAGTTGCACCTTGTCCAGTCAGCAGTACCATGTGGGACTGTGTGCACCATGGGGCCGGTGGAAGGAGGCAGACCAGCGACCAACAGAAGTATAAATCAACAGGCAGCGTCCAGCCATTCATTCATTCAGACTGTGAGTCGTGCGGAAGCGCTGCCAGAGCGACTTGTCCAAGGAGGTCTGCGAGTGCCCAAGGAAGAAGAGGGCTCAAGAGAGACGAAGCGGCCATAGCCGCCAGTTAGTGTTAGAGGTAGAGTGCAGCCATAGCTGCTACAGGTTAGGGGGTATGTATGAGTGAGTGTGCAGTGAGCTATGTGCGTGTGTGGGATATCGAGGGAGATCCAGAGTCGAGTGTGTGTGAACAGTCGCAGTGGATACAGAGTCGGGAGAGTGAAGTGTAGGCGCTCAGGCGCCATAGCCAATTTGAAGCGAGTTTGTATCTGAACTGTGTTCTCGGCCGTAATATCTCTGAGCTTTGTGTGGGCGCCTGGCGCCAGTGTGGATTGTTATCTGTTTGCAACTTTGCATGCATGCGGAAAGAAGGAAGAAGACGGGTCTGACTGCAGTTCCTCCCCCCCCCCCCCCCCCCCCCCCCCTCCAAAAAAAAAAAAAAAAAAAAAAAAAAAAAAAAAAAAGGAGCCAGGCCGGTACTCCCCACCCAAAAATAGATAGGAGCCAGGACCATACAGCCCTTTTTTTTTTGACTTCAACAAAATGTCAGAATGGTAATATACTAATATTAGTTGCAAGCAAACCACACTGGGGAAACTCAAAACTTGCGCGCACAATGAACTTTCTCGATCAGCATTCGTATGGTGCCGAGGTCATTAGCAGAAATGAGAAAGCAATGATCACTCCAGCGCAAGAATGACGGATGCTGTAGCCTCTTGATGAAGAAAATTCTCCTCCTCCCCTCCCAACAATCCATAGTATTCAATACACACCATCAAAAGGAAGGATGGGCAATGCTGTGCTAGTCTTTTGAATGAAAGAAAAGCCCCCTTCTCGCGTCCCAACAATCAATACAACAACAATGATAGTTCTCCGAGAATTGTCTGAGAGTTCTTTGCTCGCGCTGGTCTCACAACCAGCCTCTCTGATCACCACTCTATCCTCCTCCCTTGACTGCACTATGGACAGCAAACTGCTGCTTCCATCCATGCCTGAATGCAGAATATACCACGCTGAATCTCTCTCTCTCTCTCTCTCTCTCTCTCTCTCTCTCTCTCTCTCTCTCTCTCTCTCTCTC